TCTTGATTTTGATTTTAAAAAAGTTTTTGAGGAATTTAACAACAACAACCCGCTCCCCCCTTTGCCCTGTCTCCCCTCAATCCCATTCAAAATTCTTTCCCTGATTTGATTTATGTAAATATATAGATATTTGGATAAATAGATAGTTTGGAATTTATCAATAAATATTCTAATATTTATATTTATGGATCCAGGTTCTGGATAGATTAAAAGGCATACACCATATAATTCAGGAAAATCTTCAAATGTACAAAATGAAGTTTTTACTGAAAAATGACTTTTGAGGAAAGTGAATGAATATTAAGTTTCAAAAGGCAAAAAAAAAATTTGCCAGTTCTGTCTTATGTTTTAATGTTCATTTTCTTTCTCATCAAAGCGTTGTAAATCACCCCCGCCCTTTCCCACACCCAAAATGGTATTTTTTTCGCCCACTTTATATTTAAAATCTTTACAAGCGCTTCCAACCCTTCAAGCTATTCCCCCCCCCTTTCTTCCTGGTTTTCCGGAAATCCAATTTTTCTCTTCACTTCTCTCTCAATCCATTTAATCTACACCTTACAGGGTGTCCGATAAATCATGTCAGCTCAATAACAAAATTACAGGGTGTCCAATAAATCATGTCAGCTCAATAACAAAATTACAGGGTGTCCGATAAGTCATGTCACATTAAGAACAAAATTACAGTTTTATGCTTTAAAATGGAACATGAGAATAGCAAAGGCAAGAGCAAAATACTGCAATATTTCTGAAAAACCCTGTATCCGAAATTTGGACACAAGATTTAATGATAAAAATGTGAGGGGGGGGGGAGATAATTTATTTTGTAAATGTTTTGAGTTTACCCTTGAAAACATTGGAAGGACACGAGATTTTACAATTATTACCAAATATAGGCGCGCGCGCACATTATGCAGCATATCATCTACGGGATATTGAGCGTGTTTCTATTTGGTTTGACTTTTTAACAAAAAACTAATTTTGCTTGAAAAAATTTAATTGGTGACTTTATAATTTGATAGGTATTCTTCTCTTTCAACGTGAATTTAACAAAAACAGTAATGTATGGCTGAACATTGCTCGTCATTAATGCGTAATCAATCTTCGTAAAATAATATACCAAGTAACATGACTCTTAATCTTTAAACCAATCTTATAAATAGGGATCTTTCTTTAAAGGGATTGTTGACCTATTTATCTTTATTGATCTTTAGATTTAAAATCATAACGCAGCTGTATTGCTCAAATATGTTAAAAAAGACAAACACGAAATAATCTATGTAAAATATCTATTAAAAAACATGTTTAATACTGAATCTGATAAAAAAAATAATGATGTTTATCATAATCTAGTGTTAAGACAGTACAAGGATGTATAGAACTAAGGAGAAGGAGTAGTTTGTTTTCTTTAGAACTAGTTTTATTGTAAACAACATTTTGTAAACAGTAATATCATGCTTTCCTAACCTGCTTTATCTGTGATACAACCTTTGTTTTGTTTACTAGTGGCTCAGCTGTCCTAATATGTCAAAGTAAAATATAAACAAACCCTCTCCCTAATTCTACTCTCATTGGCAAGATGACATGTTGCACAATAGGATTGTTGAGTATAAACACTAGGTAAACTGTTTACATCCCACAGAGGATCAAAAATATCAGAATAACCAAGAAATTTTCATTTTTTCACAAAATATGATACTTTAAATAAATTTGGATTTACATCAAATTCTTCTTAACTTTGGAACAGATCATAAAATTATAATTATCACACAACACATGTTACATGTATAATGCCTGATTTGCCCCTGTTTCATGCTCTCTGAAGAGTCTCATTATTTGAAGATATAAAATCTAGCGATGTCATCCTTTCCTTTTCTTTCTCCTCCGTCTGATGATACAACAAGTGTAAAGACCAGGATAAAAACATAATTACAACTAGCGTGGAACATCCCTCTCAGATAAACTAGTGTTTTTTAGTAGATGAGTTTTTACACATGTCATACTTCATGGGAAAGGACGCATAAAGATGAAGCATAATTCAGAAACTTTGGAATGTATTAGTTGCAAAACTAAGCAAAACATCTTTATGAATAACCTTTTTATTCTTGTTTTTCTTTCCTAAACATTTATAATTGTTATTTGTGTTGATTCCTCATTGTTGCCAGAAAAAGGTAAAAAGGTAAATTAATGGGTCACTTGAAATTACGTTAACAGTCCCTTTAAAAACATATTTGCAACGATTTTGCACGCCATGACTGGAGTTAAAAGAAGGGAAAAAGTCATGTTTCCCAATTTTAGAATACATAGGAAGTAAATTATCTTAAAAACATATATACCATCTATACGCGCTTGAACCCGACGAAAGTATATTATATACCTACATTGGTTTGGGATTATTTCGAACTGATCAATATAAATTATGATAAGTAAAGGTATAATTTACTCAACAATTTAAATGGTTTGAGGCGACTATATTAAGTACAGGGTGGTCAGAACACAATTATACGTCTTTAACTGCCAAGACAGGGTGGTACATAAAAAAGACACTTTAAAAGTGGAGTATTAGTTGTTTGCACTAGACATGATAAGGGTTTCAGGAGGGGTAGGTTTTTTATAAAAGAAAACAAAAGAATGTTTATATATACATTCTTAAAATTTTCTCTGTATATTTACTTTAATACAGCTGTACAGTGTACATTTTAATAGTTAGTATCCCCTAACACTTACAGTCTTCTTCCGTTTAAGTGCAAATATGCCCNGCTTATTAATTCATCATTCCATCACTTAGCAATTGCATGCGGAATAAAGTAAAATTCTAAAATCACAAATTCTTTTTCTTTTGCATTATTTTCTCAATTTTTTGGGGTTTCATTAAGTTTTTGTGAGAAAACCACAAGCTTAGAAGAGAGTTAGTTGGGAGATAGTTAAAATATGGTTGAAGATGGACTCTATAGTTTGATGGATGAATACAGGGATGTGTCGAGCAATGAGAGGATGGAATAGGGGGTATACAAATTTATGTTTAAGGGAAAAAATGAAATCATAAAAAAATATTTGCAAATATTCCAATATTCCAAAAAAAGTCCCAATTTTTAAAATAAATGGTCAAACTAGATAAATAAATAAATAGCTGAATTATCATTGTAAATATTTGTGATCTACATTATCGCGAAGGAAGTAAATTCTTATTTATTTCCAGGATTTTAACTGGTTTTAGGTAAATGTTAACTAAGCCATGGTTAAGTCATTTAGAAGTAATTAAATAGTAACTATCTAAACTAAATAGGATACTAATAGAACCCTTAACTATCCTAAGGCCTCATTCAGAAGTATACAACCCTCAAATAAAATGTGATTTAACTTAAAGGGACCGTTCACTTATTTGGGTAATTTCAGGGTAAACTAAACAGGCTCTTCGCTGTTGATTGGTAATAGTCTTACTTTTCAAAGACAACTGTGGCCGGAGAAAAAGCCGATTTTTCGTTCAGAATTCGAGCGGAAAGGTATGATACCTTTCTATAGACTCTATTTGATGTTTTTTTTCCAGTATGTTGTTGATCAAAATAAATTTCAAATTACCCAAATAAGTGAACGGTCCCTTTAAATAAATATAAAATTCACTTAATAAGCAGAATAATACTTAAAAATGCTGAGATGAATTGAAATCTAACAACTTCATGAGTATATTTAAACACCCCAGCTTTGCATTTCATGCATTTTTAGGCAGTTTATTTCTTCTCTAAACAACAAAAACCCGGACTGGACTTAGAATTGAGTATTAAATTCTTTATGTATAATTTATAAAAAACATTTTTCGATAAAAACTGATAAGATGTAATTCATACCAGTTAATGAACGTTCATGGTACACTTAAAAACATAAATATTGCAGGGGCATTTATTTTTAAAGAAAAATAATTTCTGCCCCCCTCCCTCGTTTATGTTATCTGCGAAGCTTCAAAAATCAAAAAAATCAAAAACTTTCATGGAGGAGGGGCGCGGTGCGCACCCAAACCTTTTCTATTTACCTTTTCCATGTATGCCAGCAGTTAAAATACAGGAAATGAGGATAAAAACAAATAAGGATGTACTCTGCCAAAACATATTTAAAACTACCCACTGGAAAATTCTAACTCAAAATAATATGTTTATAATATCCATTTTGTAAAATTAGAATTAAGTATTATTATTTATTATTAGATAAATAAATCCGTCCTTGCTCTCCTACTTAACCTGGCACATTGAGCTCTCTACTAAACCTGAAACCTGATATCTGAAATCTCAAGTTTGGAATAAAACTGAGAAAACCAATTTGATCCAGAACACAAACTGACAGATTTAACGCCAAAACCCAACCAATCAATTACAATTACATTTAAGCGTGGAAAATAATCAATTTTGTATTCCAATTTATATTTTAGTTTTAGACTTCTAATTTCTAATGGAAACGTTTTAATATTGGAAAATTTGGAATTTTTATTTAGGTATTTCTAAATTTCATGAATCCTTCATTTCTCATTAATCAAATTCATTCCCCCGGCCATTAGACTTAAATCCCCTGTACTTTTTCTATAAATCCCGCCCCCCTAACATTACTAACACACCCTACAATCTTCATTCCTGAACGTGACTGTGCAATAATTTGTAGATTTCAAACTAAATTAAATATTTAAATCAAACAAAAATATGCGTCTGTATATATAAGTAGTTTGATTCTTAAAAAAGTTTTTCAAACTAATTTTATATTTTTTTTCACACAAAAATTTGACTAATATATTGCTTAAGATCCGGATCCGGATCCAAGGGGCAAAATATCAACAAAAACTGCCAAAACTCTCTCAATGGTTCATCAATTTTTAACATAAAAATAACGACAAGTAATAAGAAAATTTTTCTTTGTTCCAAAAATTCAGTAAATCTTAAAAGAAATGTTCATAACATGGATCCGGATCCGGATCCGATTTTTTCCAGTGGACTACTAGAATGACTATGTTTAGTACTCACCAGGGAACCCCGAGAAGGTAGTCAAGAAGCTTCTTATAGTCTTCAGGACGTGCACGCTCCCTGCGGGGGTTCTGGGGGAGGGTTAGAACTGGTCCGCCCCTCCTATCCCGCCCTCCTGTGAGAAGTGCTAGACCCTCCTCCATTTCCTTCATCACGTCCAAACATCTTAATCCGTCTACTCTCCGAGCACCTAGATACAGACAAGGGTTAGTTCTCAACTAGATTTAGTCCTGGAGCTAGGACAATCCTAGTTAATTAACCTGGTCCTGCACCTTGTCCTATAGTCATTCATCCCGTTCTATTTATTTTCCCCATGTCATAGGCAATAGCACTAGTCCTGGTTCTCGTCCTATATATGTTTAATGTCCTAGTCCTGTTCTTGTCTATGTGCTTGTCCTGGTGCTCGTCCTGTTCATGGCCCTAATCCTAGTCCTGGTCACACTCCTAGTTTTTGTCCTGGGTCCTTGTCCTTGTTCTAGGTCTAGTCCTATTTTGAGTTCTAGTTCTAGTAAGCAATTCTATCTTTACAGCACAATTAATTCACTTTGAAGTATTACAGCTTTTTTTGTTATCTTATTCAGTCTGATTGTTGCATGCTAAAATTAACCATAATTTCATGGTGATATAATAGCATATTATTTCTAAACAAAAACTATTTTAAATGAATGCTTCAGATTTAACTGAGTATAACTAATGATCCCACCCCGCCTATCCCTTTTAATTTTGGCAACTTGAAGAAAACATGGATTTTGTGTTCAAAATAGATAAGTCATAGACATCCTAACGTACAGGGTTTATCACAAATGATAAAATTTTAATGACCTGAAATTAGAAAAACACGACTCAAAAACGAAATTCTGAATTTTTCAGTTTAAGTACAAGAAAAAAGTTGAAAATTTGTATCCAAGAATGAGATATTATCATATTCTTCTCCTAATGACTTGTGTAGAGACTAATGACTAATGGTTGGTCTAAACTCAGCTAATTACAAGGTAATTAAAACCATAATTATCCTGTGAAGATATAACTAAAAGAACCAGTTACAAGATAACATGTTATTAAAATTATTAAAATTTTTAAATAATAATATTTTTTTTAATCGCTTATTAATTCATCATTCCATCACTTAGCAATTGCATGCGGAATAAAGTAAAATTCTAAAATCACAAATTCTTTTTCTTTTGCATTATTTTCTCAATTTTTTGGGGTTTCATTAAGTTTTTGTGAGAAAACCACAAGCTTAGAAGAGAGTTAGTTGGGAGATAGTTAAAATATGGTTGAAGATGGACTCTATAGTTTGATGGATGAATACAGGGATGTGTCGAGCAATGAGAGGATGGAATAATGAATGAATGAATGAATGATAATTTAAAAAAGAACTAATTCATGAAATGATAAACGAACAGGGGCGGACACAGGGGGGTGGCGGGGGGACATTCGCCACCCCCTGAGATTTCGAGGCAAAAAATGTTCCCAATTTGATAAATCGTATGTGTTTTTCAGTTTTAAGCTATTTGATTATTTTTTATTTAATGGAAATATAATAATTAATATTTATTGAAATTTGAATCATCAAAAGAGAAGGACGAAAAAAATATTTTTCTAGCTTGTTAAAAATAAATATAAGTTTATAACCAACGATGTAAGTATACGACGACAGACATTGTGTTTTGTTTTATTGGTACGCGGCACACTGCACATCTTGAGTCTTTTCTTCAGTTTAATTTAAAAATCAACGACAACAAGTAAATGTTATTGTTAACGATAAATTTAGAATTAGAAATTCGTAAGAAACTAGTAATTTCTTTTTGTTCTTAAATTGCTAATGTTCCTATTATTGTTCCTGTTAATACTGTGTCCGACCCACCTGAAATCCCTGTCTTAATCCTATATTTTTGTTCCTTATTCCTGAACAATCTTTTTATTGTTCCTAAATTCCTGTCCTAATCCTTTAATTTTGTTCCTAATTCCTGAACAATCTTTTTATTGTTCCTAAATTCCTGTCCTAATCCTTTAATTTTGTTCCTAATTCCTGAACAATCTTTTTATTGTTCCTAAATCCTTGTCCTAATCCTTTAATTTTGTTCCTAATTCCTGAACAATCTTTTTATTGTTCCTAAATCCCTGTCCTAATCCTTTAATTTTGTTCCTAATTATCAATTTTTTTGTTCCTAAAAAATCTTGCCCCCCCCCCTCACTTAAATCCTGTGTCCGCCCCTGTAAACGAATGACTGACTAATAAATGGATAACGGAAGAATAAAGGGATAAATGGACGACTGTAACAATTACATGGCTAACGGATGAAAGTCATAATACATTTTTAATAAATAATTCTATAAATTAGTGAATGGATGAAAAAAATTATCGGATAGTGTATTTAGTAGTTAATCTGTGAAAGGACAATTTGGATAATATATTATACATGAATTAATCAGCTATTAGGATCCTATCTATAGCTAGAAAGGAACTGAGTTTTTGTCACAAATTCAAATTTTATGATAGTGAAAATTTTTGATATTTCGAAATTAAATTTTATGCTTTTTCTTTTAGAAAAGAACATCTATCTAAATTACTGTAAGATGAGAATGGACGTGTAAGACTAAAATAGATGAATTTATGAAACACTTAAAATACTAATGGCGGGCTATTTAAACTATTTAAAGCCATCATTAAGTATTTAAATGCAACCAGATCAAAGTAATTGGATTAAAAGATAAAATATCAAATAACTAAACGGTATTTAAAAACATATAATGAAATTAAAATTTCAAACTTTAAAATAAAAATTACTAGATCACATAAACCTTACAATATGTCTTGTTCAGCAGAAATCACTCAAAAATTGATTAAAATTTTGCCAATTACTCCTTTTTTATCTGAAGCTAGAAACAAGCGACAAGCGACACTCTAGAGGTTACCAGATAAAAGAATTAAATTAAAAGTACCAGATAGAATTTACTAATAACAGAATCTGATAACACCAGATAAAAGTACCTGATAGAATTTACTAATAACAGAATCTGATAACACCAGATAAAAGTGATAGAATTTACTAATAACAGAATCTGATAACACCAGATAAAAGAATTAAATTAAAAGTACCAGATAGAATTTACTTATAACAGAATCTGATAACACCAGATTTAAAAGAATTAAATTAAAAAGTACCAGATAGAATTTACTTATGACAGAATCTGATAACACCAGATTTAAAAGAATTAAATTAAAAAGTACCAGATAGAATTTACTTATAACAGAATCTGATAACACCAGATAAAAGAATTAAATTAAAAAGTACCAGATAGAATGTATTAATAACAGAATCTGATAACACCAGATAAAAGAATTACACTAAAAAGTACCAAATAGAATTTACTAATAAGAGAATCTGATAACACCAGATAAAAGTACCAGATAGAATTTACTAATAACAGAATCTGATAACACCAGATAAAAGTACCAGATAGAATTTACTAATAACAGAATCTGATAACACCAGATAAAAGAATTAAATTAAAAGTACAAGATAGAATTTACTAATAACAGAATCTGATAACACCAGATAAAAGTGCCTGATAGAATTTAATAATAACAGAATCTGATAACACCAGATAAAAGAAACCCGAAAGATTGAAAATAAGACATGATATAATATCAGATTAGAAATTAGATTATGTAAACAAGAAACCATAGATCGGAACTCTTGTGTGAAGTATTGTTAATCTTGAATACATGATATTGATATCTAAGGTGGGTACTTTTAAATTTGATTATAAATGCTTGATCCCTTAATCAAAGTTATTAATCCCGATATTCGCAACCAAAAGTTCTGGCTTCAGATAAAATACAAACTATAAATATAAAATAGAATAAAAATACCAGATTTTCAGATAATATATACAGGATACCACAGACACACATTATAGATAAAATATTTAGACCTGAGAACCAGGATATTTGAGAAATATTGAACAGTGGTTTACAAAAGAATACGAAAATACAGGAAAACATTCTAAGGGTATTTTGTAAACGACTAACGGAAAAGGGAGTAAAAAATCATAAACAAGGTTAAAAATATGAAATAATAATGGAAGTCAAAACTAAATTCATTGATTATTGCTAGCTGCATAAAATGGGTTTGTTTAAAATTAAATCAAGAAATTAAAAAATAATTATTTTGTAATTAAGAAATCAGATGGCAATTAATTACAAATGTCTGCTTTAATTAGTCTTTAAAACAAAACTCTAAATTTTACCTAATTACGAATAAACGCCCTTTAACATTAATTCTCAAAATTTAGTTTAGAATCCGCCCTTTAAACACTAATGACAGAACAAGTTTCTTCAAGATAAATAGAAAAATGTAAATCAAATTAGGGGAAAGAATGCAGTAATGTTTTGAATGTTTCACTCCACAGGATGAAAATATTACACACCCCCCCCCCCCCTCCTGTAAAAACTGCCTAAATGGTAGCAAACCCCCCTTTACCCCCTACAGGGTTAAACCCTAGGGGGCGGTATACAGTTGAATCCTAATATGTCTTAACCCTACAAACCATCAATAACCAGTTCACTAACGTTTACTTGTCAGAAGGGGGGGGGGGAATAAAAAATAAATGTTCAGCTTTTAAACGGTTAAAATGTTTCATAAATCATTTTGAGTTGTTTTCAAATCAATATTTCTCTACTCATTCTTTCTTCTCCTTTACAAACACTCCAGGGTAGTAATATTTCATAAATTGACTCTCCTCCCCCCCTCCCCCCCTACACATTGTAAAATATATTGATGCAATTTCAAACCTAATTCAGCAAAACAAACAGTTTTCTTGTACTCTCAGTTCATAAAATAACCTGTTTCAGATTTTTAATTTTGATAAATTTTCCCGATCGTCTAATTTTATATTTAATGTGTTATCTGTGATCATCTTTCTGTCCTGTATTTCAATATTTCAGATTTCTATCTACATTTTTATCTATCTATCTATCTAAATATTTTCACTATATGTCTATCTATCTATCTATCCATCTATCTAAGCATCAGCCTGTAAAATATACAAGATTTTTATCAAGCATAAAAACTGGATGTCTGTCAGCACTTTTAAAAACTATTCATGTCAGCCATATTAACTATAATGCAACCTTGTTAGTAATATTAACTACTAGCTAAAGTGCCCGGCGTTGCCCGTGGA